TGTAGCAGCATACTCAGAGTTTTACTAAATGCACAAATACTGTTCCTTTAGGACTGAACTCACCGTATTTTGGCGATCGGCAAATAGCAAATTTAATTATTAAAGCGTCTGGTCGCGAAACCAGAAGACACAGGTTCGATTCCCGAAGCGCTGAGAGTTTTTCTTCATTTATGTACAAAAATGTACGATTTAAAATTTAATTATTGTTATATCGATGATAAAGCTTATCAATAATACGCCAGTATGTCAGTGTTAACGTTTTGTGTACTTAAACAATGCAGTTAAACGTTTGCGTAGGAGGCAACTTTAAGGAGTAACCGTGAATTATGGTTCAAGTTGGAGTCTTCATATTGTTTACCTTGTCGAGTGCCCGTTTACCAATGCTAAGTGATTAAGAATGCTAGTGCAAGTATATGGACAGGGGTGAAGTGGAGTAGTTTAGCATGTTAATTTTATTATCGTCCATTTTTGTAGCTGATATTAAGTCAATAAAAACTCTTGATAAATTATACCGTTGTCTTACCGTAATTTTTGCATATTTTGAAATTATAATGTTATATATGTTTAAAAGTAAAGTAAAGTAACAGCCTATACATGTCCCACTGCTGGGCAAAGGCCTCCTCTATACAGAGGGTATAAGGGCATAGTCCACCACGCGGCCCCGCTGCGAATTGGTGGACTTCACATAATTTTCGAAATATATTTTTTTTTTATTATTTCGAAAATATGCAGGTTTCCTCACGATGTTTTCCTTCACCGCGGAGCACGTGATAAGTCAGCACTTAAAGTTAAAAACTTCATTGGTGCCGGCACCGAGGATCGAACTCAGGTTGTTCGAGTATATTAAAATAAAGGCGAGCGCCCGGACACTGAGCTATCACGGCTCTTGTTATATATGTTTAATATATATATATATATGTTTTTAAATTTAAAAAAAACATAATGAATAAGTTATTTTTAACCTTCTTTCTATAAGGAAAACGTTTAAATATTAAACACTTTTAAGTATCTATATTATAGGTAGCATGCCTATATTGTAAATAGATTGTTTAATATTATGAACAATCCTAATAAATTATTTTATTAAAAATTGACATGGCGCAGTTTTATGTTTGATATATTTATAAACCACACTAATTACCCCACTGCGGATTTGTGTATATGGCAGATATCAGATATCGTCGAAATACACATTTTTTATTATAATTAAATGTGAAGGTTTCCTCACGATGTTTTCCTTCACCGCTGAGTACGTGACATATCAGCACTTAAAAATAACAATTGCATTAGTGTTAGCATCGGGAGTTGATTTCGGGTTGATCGAGTATTTTGAATTAAAGGCCAATGCCCGGACAATGAGCTATCACGGTTCGATCAACGGGCGGATATTATATAACTATTATAATGCATGAGTATGAAACAATTTTTGCTATCATCATTTCATCATTTCAGCGTGTTTGAGTCCACTGCTGAACATAGGCCTCCCCCATAACCCTCCACGTAGTACGATCCTGAGTCACCTGCATCCATCGACTTCCCGCACATGGGCACAGGTCGTCACTCCATTTTTGTTATCACAAGGACATAAATATATATTTTTATAAGCATTTAAACACACGAAATCTTTTCACGCATTATATAATAAAATGCGTTTAACCAATAAATGCAATTGTGTAATGTATAAAAGTTTTTGTGGCATAATAACTTATAAATAAAAAACTGCACAAGCCTCTCCATTCGTTTCGCTTCCATGCTTCTGCCCCGAACTACATAAGATACAGTTCTCTCAAATTCCAAGTTAAACTGAAGTAAGTTACGGGAATCGGCCGATCGCCTTTGTCGCTGTAAGCCGGGGGGCAATTATCATTAATTATTATTAAATGCGACATCGGCGTGATAAACGGGCCGCGATAACTTGGGCAAATAACTCAGGGAGGCTCCGACGGCCTCCGATGCCTTTTGATTCCCAATTGGGCATGATTTGTTATCGATCCCAGGTCTTACTGGGATTGCGAACCGATATAATTTAATTTAATAACGTTGAACGTTATTTATGGATGACGGTGTTTTATGGAAATCGAGAAAATTTGGGCGCGTTTGCGATAGTCTTAAAATACGTTCGGTTGTGTGGGTTACTTCTCATCGATGATATTCACCCGCACTGTAGGTACGTCTAATTTCGAACGTAAGATAGTAAACAGATCTTGTTTGACAAATAGCCTTTCGAAAGCCCGAACTAAACATAGCGTAACCATCTATCCTTAATTAAATATTGGAGAAAAAAACAACACGGAGCACATGAGTAGTTATAACAGACAACAGTAGGAAAAATAGTACTTTATCATCGTTTGTGTATAGCCACATAGAGAGCACGTAGCCGCGTGTTGATGAACGTATTTTATATAGAAGCAGACTAACCATATAATTTTGCTAAATTTAAGTCTTACACTATAACTTTATCGTTACAACTTTAAATGTTAAACGAATAAAACGTCAGTGTAATAGACACCGACGATGAGTAACCAAATTATGAGCCAGTTTTCGTCTTAAATTGAATGTCACTAGGCAGTGATCGACATGCTCTGATCTGAAGAGGAAACCGGTGTCAATATACATAAAGTACTTAATTTAAAATAAATATTACATCACACAAGGTATATTTCATTGATAGTCTATTTAATCTTTTCAATTTAAAGCTAAGTTAAGACGAGCATAGCTAAGCTAAGCATATCACGAGCTGGCTAGCATTTTATAGTTTTCCTAGCAAGAGTATATTAGTCGTACTATTGGTAAGACTGAATAAAATTCTTTTTACTATTGTCTTGACTCACACATTTGACCAGGAGAAGATGTTGGCATTAAGTTCCATTCTATTTATAAAGTATGGTAACACATAAAAACGTGGTTAATCTAATGTTAATCTCAACCTATTAACACAACACTGCGTTGGTTGTAGCTATGTAGCAACCCGTGAAAAGCGTAATGTTCCGGTTTATTTTTTAACTAGATGTAAAACATTACTAACTTGTTGAGTTTTATGGAGAAGACCGTTGCGCTCCCGTTATAGTGTCTATTAACGCATACCGCAGTTAAAGCTACTGCGCGTCTCAATCGCGTATATGTATGCCAGTTACAGAGTTATTTGGGCTACTGAACCCTTCTGTTTATCGATAATCTGATAGTTACTTATTCTAATAAAAGCCGCGATCGTTTTAAACTCTCCTCCGCTATAATAATCATATCTATCGCACTTACTACGCTATCGTAATGAATAATGATATGATAACGCAAAGGTATTTTAAGATGAGGTTAGGGCCTCACTCGGCTGAGTTACAGCATCGGGCCCGCGTTATGGTGTGGCGCGGCCGTTATCATTAATTTTACAAGTATTATTTACTGTTCGCGGTCCATAGAGCGCCGCGGAACGATAAGATAATCATGAGATGACGCCTAATGGCACCGATAAATTATTTGGGCCAAAATAGTCGTTATGGTTTCAGTCGTAAACGTCAGGTGTACGCTGTATCTGTCAGGTTATGTTCTTGAAACTTGTTCTTTTAATAAATAAACATGTACTTGTAATTATAAACAAATTACGTCACATCAAAAACATGCACATGCATAAGTTGAATATGTGTCATAGATGTGAGATAATAATTGTTGCACGTATTTCGAACTTGAGACCTCAAATGGTGAGAAAATGTTCTTGTACTACGTTACCACTGACTACGAGGTGAATGAAATAGCAAAATTTTTTGATTATTTTCAATTATTATTTTTTAAATTAAATATTTTCTAATATTTTTGCAACGGATCGAAACTCGTATACTTAAAGAGTAATGTTACTGGCACTTTTTTTAACACCTTTCGTAACACCACATGGTTTTCTTGCAACGGTTAAGAATATTGATCAATAAAATCAAAAATATATTTATTTTTATTAAGTTTATTACTGAAAAAATTTAAATATCATGCTTTATAATATTTTCGATTATATAAAATAATTTCAGATTATATATATTTCATAAAATTGATCCATGGAGCCAACCGTAACTACTCTTGATGTAATAAATGAGTTGGGCCATACATTAAATTATGATGAAACGTATCTACTTAAGAGCTTATGTAAATTAAATCTCAATCTCTCCTTTTAATGTGTTTAATTTATTTATACTGTAGCCAATATACTAATGTGTAAAATATTAGAGAACTAATTATTTTACTGTTATTGAAAAAAAATAAAGTAAAATTATTTTTATATACAGGTGTTTTGAAATTCTATGTTTCCAAAAAATAATTTTACTAAGTGTTCACAGATATTTTTATATACACGTAAAATTTATGTTTGTTAAACGTCCTTACAGCACAGGATAATGTTATCCTAAAGTAAAGGCAGTGTTTTTAGAAAAACTTAGAAAAACAAAACTGAGAAAACAATGATCTATTTGCAAGAACGCAATGTCAATATAATTATCTACCTAATGTTTATAACATTAAATGTAAAGTATCTAGTAACCCCTGTTTTACTAAACAGTGTTTTAAAAGTCATTTTAAGTTCTTACTACTTCCTTTGCTTGTTATTGAAGATTTGCTGATTGAATGATTTGCTTAAAACACCGTGGTGCAGTTGCCAAGGTACTCGTGTTGGCTTCAGCATCGGGGTTCGTGGGTTCGATTCCCACACGAGACAAATATTTGTGTGATCCACAGAAATGTGTCAGATCTGGGCGTCCACGTGAAATTTATGTATGTAAAACGTCCTTAAAACAGAGGATAACGCTATCCTACAGTAAGGTAAAACACAATTAAATAAAAAAAAACTACATTCCTTATTTAAACTGGGACTTACTTTGTTAAATGGAACTAAAATATGTCACAGTGCAGTTTTATGAACTTATAAGTAATGTAAATTGAAATTAATTACATGTACTATTTTACAGTATCAGTTTTTGATATTGCATGAGATGTCTCAGTGTGTGCAAACAACAGTACATTAGAAAATGAACCGATGTTCCACTGACTTCAGATTTAGCGGCACGTCAGCAACCCCGTTACGGGTAAGACGATACCAAATGGCCATAATTAAGCCCAGTTAAGGGGGAACACTCGCCATTTTCGTCAAATTTACAGGCCACTCGCGTTTCATTGTTTATTAAAGTTTTTTTACGATTATTAATGATGGTGCTCTGGTTTAGTCGTGTTATGTCCAACCAGTTTGGTTTTTTCAAACAGATAAAAAAGTAAAAGTAACAGCCTGTACATGTCCCACTGCTAGGCAAAGGCCTCCTGCATACAGAGCGTATACAGTATACCTCTAAACAGATTAAGCATACGTGCAAATAACGGAATCATTTAGTAATATTAATTATTTTACATTTACGAAATTTCAATTCCTGACGTCTTAAAAACTTTAATATCTCCCCGGCACGGGTAAGACAGACTCGTTAGAAGCGTTTACTTGGAAACAAATTCCAAAGCGGTAAAATCCTTAAAAAGAGTTCTATTTAACACGGAATAATGATTGTAGAGTAATTCAACCACTGTGGGCACAGCGAGCACAGCGCGGCGTTTTACGCATTCAAACCGTACGCTTGCGTTTTATCGACGCCCGTTTGTATGGCTCCATTTGCGCGCACGCGTTTTATAGACGCCCGTTTGTGCCGCCCCATTCGCGCGCTCGCGTTTTATAAACGCCCGCTTGTGCTGCCCCATTCGCACGCTCACTAGGGCGTGCGCGATGCAGGCCGACGGCGTCGTATCAATCGCTTCAGTTTTGACGAGGCGCCGAATCGCAAATATGTCGGACCGTCCGGGGGCGCCTCATCTTAATCTGCGTGACGTGGGCATAGAGCAAACGCGTCATAGAGTAGATATTTAAACAGGTAATCAATGTTTATAAACTGTTACGTGCTGTTTCTTTTATTTTTAGGATTGCTCCTGAAATTGAAATTTTAAACATCACGTAAAATTGGTATTTTATTTCTATTTGTATAAAATGTTAATGTAAAATTTATTTGTAGAAGTTTATAGTGTTAATAATGTAAATAGTTAATTATTAAAGGTTATAAAAAAGGAAAGGATTTTTATTATTAAATCACCCATGGTATAATCTTAAAATCATTAATTTCGAAAACGTCTTTTTTAGGGCACTATTTTAGTATTCATCAATATTTAATTATATAATTCACCAGCTAAATAAGCATAACACTAAACATTAAGTACTAAAAAATATTATTTAATTCATCACTCAAATAAACATGGCACTAAACATTAAGTACTAGCAAATAAGAATAAAGTAAGATTCGAAAGCTCTCGCGTAGCACTAATATAGTGGAGAGGTGCTACGCGAACAGCGCTAAGCCAGTTAGCGCTACGACGCGAGCCAAAGTTCACCGTAGCCAACTAGCAAAGCCCTCAATCATACGTGGCGCAATAAACAAATTCGCCGGGAGCCCATTCGCCCCACCTGGCCGCGCAGACCCATAAATAGCGGGGAAGAAAAGCAAAACGTATGTGCCCTATCGGCGGCAAAGCCCCGTACAAATCTGGCCAGTGGATAGCGGGGCCTGATCGACAAATCCCGCAGATTACGCGCTGATACAGGGGCATGTTTATGAGACAGCCGCTGGACTGCGCCGGACTCTATCCCGCCCTGTAGGGCTGTCAATCGCCACGTTACTTTATTTTATAATCGCTTTTATATTTTAAACACAGTTGTTGCGTTTGTTTTATTCTTGCCTCTGCTACATGCTCCTAAACAGATTGGTAATGCGATTGGATGTATTAATAATTGTGATACTGGATTATAATATGAGATAGATATAATCTACCAAGAATCTATTTTGAGTAAAAAATTATTTCGAAATAGATACGCAGAGGGCACAGTAATGGTTTTAATTGAGACCGAGTTGCATTGTAAACGAAAATAAACTGACCAATTAAATTATGTATTACATACATAATACATTTTTCTTAATTAGGATCTTCAGAAAATAATCTTGAAATAAGTGTAAAATAATAAGATATAGATTTTTACCTTGAATTTGGGAGTAAGATGATTCCAAAAAAAACGTACTGTCTCAGATATTGACCGATCAAATATAGTAATTTTAAATGGTAAATCGTAACAACAGGACAGGCTTACCTAGTACGGGATCGACAGATGTAAAAAACTTGAAATAAGTTTGTCATATCAATGCAGCTTTTTAGGTTAGCTCAAATTTTGGAAAATCCGATAATCTTTAAACCACTTTTCAGCTTACAACGTATTATATAAAGTGCTTTTACATTTTCGTTCTAATGTGTGAAATAATTAAACCGAACATCGCTATCACAACAAACTTATTTGTGTATTCGCTAAACTTTCAAACGGCCACAAAATAGAACTGGTACCAAAGCTTACTTTATCTGTTAACATAATTTCAGCATAGAAAATAATCCCCGATACAAGCGAAAAACCCGAAAACAAGTCCGCGCCAATAAAAACATACGCTTCCTGATCGAACCCCCTCCGTAGCACCGCTACGTCGCGTAGATAACAAAGTAACGGCCACCCCGGAACGAGTGCCGCCAACTTTTAAAAACGGAACGAAACTAGCACACGCAACTACGTGTAATAAGATAAAATAAAAATGCAAATGCGTTGGCAGCCCTGAGCCCGATCCGTAGATAGAGGGAAGGTAGCGGAATAATATTTCGGCTCACAAAACGAGTCCAAGTTTTAATAGTGTACCGTCATGTTTATGTTATGGGAGCCGGAATGGAAAGAGCTACCCTCGGAGACTGGCGGGCTGATGTAGAGTTTTCGGCGTTAAAAGGCTTCCACGTCGAGCTGTTTTTCTTTTCGAGCTTTTTCGAGTTCGAAAGCGGGCGGCGCTTTAGTTTTAGCTCTGATCTAGGTTATCTAGGGTATTATATTGGCAACTATAATGTATACTTGATATTACTTTTACTATTTTGAGAAAAAGTTAAAATAATATAAATTTTTGTATATTAGGCTATGTTAAACTAGTACTTTTATAGCATATGACACTTCAAAATATTACATAAAAAACTTTTTTTCAGTAAAAATACAAGTGGGGTTGGCGTTGACACTGCGATTTTGGATACGCGACGTTAGGTCGTGTGCTCGAATCCCAGTGTAGAGAATTATTGACTTTTTATGTTTATAGCATTTTTAGGCATGAAATCCACAATCATAAATTAGAAACCGCTGTATTGAGATGAGGAGCATCGCCAGCTATGTGCGTGATTGCTAACAGCTGTCGTCTTATTAGTATAAAACACGAGTGTGTCATGCTAATTATATGACATCTTACCTAACTCGAGTGGAAGTCGACCTTAAACATTTCAATCTCCTCATTTAATTTCAAAGGATTGGAACTCCGTGGAACGATTGCTTATTCAAAGTTGGGTATAATAATTTTTTTTGTAAAATTTTCAACATGAATAAAACTCAACTAATTACAAACCATCTTAACAATAAGGCCGGCAAAGCTCCACGGATGTTATAAATGTACATGCATGGGCTGCGGTAATCATTTAACATGTAGTGAACTACCATCTCTAATAAATAATGTCACGATTTTTCAATCATCAGCCCCTGCATGACAAATCACATAAAATCAAATCATTTATTTATCGAAGTAGAAGTATACTTCATTATCGATGGTCATTTTTTAAATCTACCATCGTTTCGTAATGAGATTCCTCTGACGGAGAAGAAACAAGCGAAATAAACTCCGTAGGTCTTTTTTGTCGTTTTTTTCCTCAAACTATTGTAATGTAATAATTTACATATTTTTTTTAGAAACAGCTTAGGGGCGTCCATCTCATTCCTAGGGGTTATTATCATTAATGTATTCATTTATATTATAATAACCCTTTTTAAAAAGTTTTTCTTTAATATATTTCTTAAGCCTGTTAATAGACAGGCTTTTGCTCATTAACTGGGATTTTGTTGTAGAAGCGTATACACCGTCCCATGAACGGGTTACTTACTCTATCGAGTCTAGTAACTGGTCCTGGTGGGGTCCAGTAACATGACACGAAACATTAGTCGTCGAAGACACACACAGATAGTGCTAGGGCCACGCAACAGCTACTGCTCTTGCACGGAGGGGTAGAGGCGTCTGGGGAAAAGACTTCAAAGAAAATCGGCGTGAATTGCAAGTATTAAACTTTCGCGATTCTTTCTTTTTTTTATGGGAAAAAAGCAGCAAACGAACAGGAGGCTCACCTGATGGTAAGTGATCACCCCCTTGTTCTTCTAGTGAGTGAGGTAAGTGAGGCCAACTTTTTTAAAGGTTGTCAATACATTAATATTTATTTTCTTATGTGAGAAGAAGGCAAGCAAGCAGGCGGTTCATCCGACGTTATGTGATAACAGCCGTCCGACACTTGCAACACCAGCAGGGTACAAATGCATTACCACCTCTTAAGAAAGTGTGTTCCGCTCACCATACGAAACGCAGAAGTATAACATTTCCACTTCACGCCGGTCTTCGGTGAGCAACCTGCCCATTCGTGCAACAGAGGAGACTGTTGCGTGGCCCTACCACAGTTATAGATGTCATCACTTTACATTAGATGAACCGCCTGTTCGGTTGACAACTTTTCACAAAAAAAAAAAGACACGGACACAAATATACGAGTACGTACTTGTACATGAACAAACAAAAAATAATCACGAAACGCTATAATATCCCGGCTACGCAGTTCTGGGTAACTCGAGCCCAGTGTATCGCTCATTTAAGTTTCCGCAGCGACGCGGCCGGGCATACATTTCGGTATTACGCATATCCGTTACGGAATTATCTAGCATTGGGGTAGAGCGGCCGCCGTACTGTGCAACACACACGAGAACAATTTGTGTCCCGCACCGGACGTATTTAAGCTATTTTATTTATTTTCAGATACAAAAGGCCTTATCGGCGCGTGTGTAGCTTGTTAGCGCGCGTCCGGATTAGGCTATTCTCCTTTATTAAGCTTTGGTTTTGTTTGCATTCGTTATGATGTGGGTGGTTTTATTTTATACTTAAAAGAAATATCTTTCGGTATACATTTCGAGGATTGGTCTTAAGATTTGTTTACGAAAAGTCGTTTTCTACAAATAAAATTTAATTGTACTTGTTGTTAAGGTAGGCAAACTTCATGGAAATTCAAGTAAAAAAACTGAAAAAGCACTTGCTCATAGAATAAAACAAAAAATTAATATAAGCTAAGCATACTGTGTTTATGTACTTTTGTGCTATATTTAATTACATTAATGTTTTATTTAATAATATTGATTCTTACACCGAAGTTAATGAATACGGAAAGGCAGGAGTCTAGAAATTTATCATTGAAAGTAATTAAGATCTGTGTTTTGGGGAATTTTTGTATCGGATGACAGGGTATGCAAAGCTTTTATACTGGTATGTGCATGCATTACTAAAATAAAATAAAATAAAAATACTGGCAGGCAGTGAGAGGTCAAACTCCACAATCACGGTCAGCTCTGAGCGCTGTATCGTCCATGCTGGGCACTCCTCCAAAACGTGTTGGGCCGTCTCCTCGGCACATATATCTCAATGGTCCAGCCACATCCTGAGGACAGGACGTATGGCCTCCACGATTGTTAGGCTGGCAGTGGGGTGCTTGGGCCTTTGTCGCATGGAGGCGTTTGAGCGCAGTCATAAGCAGTTTCTTCCTCGCACCAGTAGTGCAATGGCGTGAGGATCTTAGCTTTTAGGTTCTTTGGAAAGAAAGTACCCTAGATTGCGCCAAGCATTGCTAAAAAGCAAAAGAAAAAACAAAAAGTAGCCAAGACGACGAGATTTTCACGCGGTTGAGATATCGACCGCTCAGCTACAAAGCTATGGTAAATGCCTCCAGACCACCAGGTCTGGAGAGGTTTACCTAGAAGGTCGGTGAGTGAGATTACCTAGGTCAATTCTTTTAAAGATTCCTTTTGAAACAAAGAAAGAAACATTGATTTTTTTCTACACCCCTACTAGACGTCCATGCAAGAGATAATCATGGATATTAGGTGACCTTTTTACTCGCTTGCGATGTTCTAACATAAAAAGTATTTTCTATGAACAAAAAAGCAAGTGTCACAGTCTGAACGGTCAGCAGGCCGTGATAATAAACAAGGCATCTCATAGAGGCGGCTCGCTATCGGACGTTGATAGGCGGACCGGCGTAGTTTTAAACCATGCGCGACCCTCGCCGATGGTACTTCTAAATATGTTATTGACTTACCCGGGATCCGCTAGAACAACTGTTCGCAGGATTGTTTTGTTTCGCTTCAAACAACGGTCAATTTATGTACACCGTTTTCAGTAGTGGATTTCGAGAAGCATCTTCTGATTGGATGGTTTCGGCTCCGTGGTATATCAGATTTCACTTATTCGCAAAGAAAAAATTGTATAAAATTTTAAACGAATACCAATTAAGCCTTCTCTTATTTTAGATGGTGTTAGTTAGTGTGTTAGTTAGTTAATGAAATCAACAAGGTACGAAGCCAAGGTCGTATGAATATGAAAAAATCACATAAAAATCAATTAGAGAATTGCAACTTGCGTACCAGCCTTCTGTCTTGTGCCTAATTCTAAATGTGACTTTAAACAATCAATCAATTTATTGTGTAGCTCATATATATTGTCTTACGAAAAGAAGAACGCTTAATGATTCAAAATTCAAGTACTGTAAGAAAGGCACGCTGCAAAACCGCCACCTCTCATCAATGCCATTCTTAATTCTAAATTTTGATTCAATTACACTGATTAACTTAATCATAATAATATGCAGAAATGTTTGGTTATGTGCCTACATACCCCTGAGTGTTGCTTTCAAGTTGACTTTGTATTGCTTGAAACCGACATTGCTACCGTAGGCGTTCTTCACCCCGACGATCCCAGCAAACGTTATCGCCGCACTAAACCGATCCAACAAGACGGAACCGCTGGAAGCAATTAGAGGCAGACACTGGCAACACATCGACTCTCAATCTATCCGTGACACGGCGGTCTGTGTCTACATCTTGAGGGCCGAACACGGCCCGTAAATCGAGCGTCCCAATTTACGCCGCGTGCTGCGGAGCCGGCCTTTATTGATAGGCCGATGTCGTCTTGAGATATTGCCGGGCAATTTGTACAGCCGTTAGTCGACTGAATTACCGATAATCAATTGTGGGCGTTAAGAGTTAGGTGGGCGACTTAAGGTTTTTGAACGGTGCTACTTTAACGCGACCATTGGATATTTGAGCTAATAGAAATTTAAGTCTTTATAGCAATATTTAATGCAACGACGACTTCTTTCAAAGCAATATCATCTGGCATAAGCATCCTCATCCGAAGGAACTATTACATTTGGTAGAAGTATAACAAACGTTTAGCATTTCGTATAACAACGGATATACTTTTTTATTTGAGAAGGTGGCAAGCGAGCTGGCGGTTCACCTGATGTTAACTAAAAACCGCCGCCCATATACATTTACAACTACTAAAGCTGCAGAGGCGTGTCCACCTTTTAATAGAAAAAAAACGCTGAAGTATAACACTTCGACTTCACGCCGGTCTTCTGTGAGGACGTGGTACGTACTCGGACCTGCCCATTCGTGCGATAGCCAAGACTGTTGCGTGGGCCATACCCCAGCCAACACTAAACTTCAATTAGCCGCCTAGGTTACCGAGAGTGTCAAATTAATAGTCATTCAGACTCATACATTATAAAACCATAAGGTACCTAATTATCAGACATACCTCGTAAACATGGCCGAAGTTTAAACTCAAGCAACCTTAAGGTACCTAATGCAGGCAGTCTAATTATCAGACTAATACATACCTCGTAATCATGTCCGAATTTTAAACACAAGCAATTCCATCAATCCAAATCAAAACGTATTAATACATTCACGCGGTCCATGAATATATCAGCGCTTAACGCGCGCGTAGCTCAGCCCAACAGCGATCCGGCTAAGACAGAATAGAGAGGATTAGGCACTATTTACTGCAAATTAACCCAACAATTGATGACCAATTGATCGTCTAATGTGCCCATATGGCCATTATATTAAATCAAACAGGCCACGATAGCACTCCGGGTACCTGAACAAAGACCTATTGATTTAAGAGCGTCCTCGGTACGGGATTGCCTGTAGCCCTGTTCTGTTTAGATTGACGGCGCTTTGCAGCTAATATAATTAACATTAACACGCGATTAATAGTAATTCGCCTTGTTAGGTGTAATTGTGTTGCATATTGTTATATATACGACAACAACAAACGACACAGTTTAGTTTATTTTTAAGATATAAAAAATCATTTAGCCACGTTATGTCGCAAGAAATGGAAGGGACGTAACATTCAAAATCCTTTTTTCTCAATTCGACGAAAATAAAAAAACAATGAAGCAAGCTTATTTAGTGTTGAAATTATTCTTAGCTTATTCTAATTAAATGATATACACGCTAAGTAAATCGGGAACTAATAGGCGCTATACAATGAAATATTAAACAACTTTATTTCTCTCGAATCTTAAAAAACACGACAAGATATTTTTTTTTTTATAAATAACCAATCAATCCAAACTGTCACCTGTATTATTGTTTCGTTCTACCTTGATTTTATCACCAAGCCAACATGTTACATGAATAATTATTTAGACATGCTACAATTAAACTTCTTATAATATAGTAAAGGTTGCTTCTTAAGTGCAGATCTCATTCAGCCGCATTGCATCCCACCGCAGCGACGTAACGGCATTGTAAGCTCCGCGGCTCAGATCTCACCTGACTAACTGCCTCTAACCACCTCTAACCGCCCCGCGCCGGCGGCGACCGGCGTAATCCGGTGCAATCCGGTTCGCAAACTTTGTTCCGCCATACTTGCTTTGCGGTCCGCGCGCTTTGCCACTCGCCCGTTGCGCCCGCAAACAATTCGGTAATGGATTCCCGTTATTGTGTTACTGCCCTGCGGTGGATTCGAAGCGTTTATGGGCCGCTTTCAATGTGCGATTGGACATTTTTGGGGTGTTGACTTTTTCGTCTTCGACTGATACATGAAATAATGAAGTCTAACAGTAAATATACCCGAGAATACTCGAGACTACTCTTGAAAAAGCAAATTTAGGGCGTAGTATGTCTTTTGTTACTCTATTTTCAAATAAGGTCTTTTGTTACTCTATTTGAATTTGGAACAGATATAACAGTAGTAAAGCCTGCTGTAAAATAATCACTTTATTTTATTGGTATCTATATATACTATCTATCTATATATATATATATATATATCACAAAATATTTTCGCTTGCCCGCTTAATCTTTCACACGCCGCAGTATCTCCTCATCGTACCGACTTAATCGTCACTGAGTACCAAAACAGACCATTAGCAATGTTTGTATAATGCAGAAGCAATATCGAGTGGACCGAATAAAAATAAAGGTCACAATTACACCGTACCCTTTTAGCTAAATGTCACGACGGCGGCACCATAGAATCGCAAATGTCCCAGAATGGTCCACCGTAAAGATTTAGAAGCGACGAACTTAATGCAGCCCGTTGGTTGGCTTGGTTCATTGCACAGGAGTGCCGTTTGCGAATAGGTTTATGAGTTTTGCGACAAAAGAAAAGGATTGCGTTGATTTTTAACGGTATTTGAGAAACACAAAGACTTGATGTTTAAAATTTTAAAATTTTTTGATCATAGCTTTATGATTTCAAGTTAATTACTGTACTAACCTTCAAAACATGATAGTTTGAAAATCTACGTAGTACACGTATTGGATAGTAGGAGGTGGGTTCTATCTTTACAGGACGTAAAGTCATAGTAAACTTTAGCAAATAGTATATATTTCATCTTAATGTCATTATTTATGCTCTAGTTATAAGTAAAGGGAGCTTACCTTAATTTTAAATACTGCTAAATATGAGAAAGCGAATAACCTAACATATACTACATACACATGTTAAGTGTATGTTGTATACATAGATTGTTCAATTTTCTAATAATAGTTCTTTATGTTTATAACAAATGCACATATCTTATCGGCTCTGGACCACTTCACTATCGGTTGATTGAAGGAAACTTGAAATTGTTAATTATAATAACAAAAACCAATATTTTTTGGTTGAATTAACCAAAAAATATTGGTTCAAAATAAAAAGATAAGAGAAAAGAGTTCAAAATAGAAAAGAGTCAGTCTTATAAGATTAAATAAAAGTGTAAAAAAGTTCATGTGTTAGTCGTAAAAAGTAAATAATATTGCAATCAGAAATAAAAGTTCATGATTGTCTCCCCCCTGCTTGACTGATAGCCTCCTCAAAGTTTAACGTTCCAACTTCAGCGTAAATCGAGATTAAACTAGCTATAACCGGTTCTCACCGGCGGTGATCCGGTTTAAAGCGGTTCGAGCGTGAGCGCGTCGGTGCACAAGTTTGTTTTGTCACTTACTCTAATAGTTGGGCAAACGTTTAGCGACTCTAATTGAAGGTACTGTCTGCTCTTGATATTTCCGCTCTGTACGTCACGGGGAATCTAGCGATTTGACTTTAGAACTTAGATGAACGAATTAAGCTGCGCTATATGAAGGGTGTCTATACGAGCTTTATAGTAATTAAGTTACTCGAAAAGTACATAACCGTTTAATCAATGTGTACACGCTGTGCTCTATTCTAATGAAAATAAGATCATTTTTAGACCGTAAATTAGATCAGTAATGTTGGTAACCTAAACTTTTTTAATTAATATAAATAAAGCCACAGTAATATATATATAAAGCCACAGCTTTTTTAATTGACGGATTTTTAAATGATTGGAGATCCTTTATTATTCACGGATTTTTAATTTATTACCGATGTAACAGCTTTGAGCACTGAATTTTATTTTCTAAAACGTTCGCACATTGCTTCCAAAGATGCTCGTCTGGAGGAGGCTCGATAAGGACTCACGATGCCGCCGCTTATCTGAGCAACGAGGGGTAATCCTTGACGTGGCATCACTCGGACCCTCACGAAAGCCTGAGTGGCGTCAACAAGTCGTCAGGATTAGCGAGGGCCTACGTCCAGTTGACGTTTACGCGATTCACAAACGTTCGTGGGCAACGCGTGCGTCAAGATTACGAGATTTTGAACGGGTTAAGTATTTCATTTGTAACATCTTTTTTCGTACGAATAATCTTACCGGTGTATGTTTTTTATTTCTTAATACTGTGTGCCTTATCTTTTTTTATTTATTTATTCTTTATTGAGAAAGAAATGTAAAGGCGGACTAATGCCATCAGCATTATTTACCAGTCAATCTTAGGGTCATTCAGAGAAGTGCGTGGGACACCGGCAGTGAATTTCAGACAGATTTCAGACAGGGTAGACACTGAAAAAAACTTAGCAATTTTTACTTGGACGAGTGGCCTTTGAAAAAGTCGTGAATTGTTAAGGTTATTTTTCTTTGCGAAAATTAATAAAAATTTTAGATACGTTTTTCTGTTGTATTATTTACGTATTATTAATAGATCACTTGAGTAATAAAGTCTAAACTAGTTAATGTTTACAGATCAAAATGACAGGATATGCAAAGCTTTATTGCTTATATGGGCAGCACGCGCCTGGACTCTGGAGAAGATGGGTTCAAATGAAGGTTTTTTCGAAGATGCAAATGAGTTTTATGTAGTTATTCAGAAGTCGGTAAAATTTATTGAGATTGCACTCAGCTAATGTGTACTACGTCGCCGTAGTTGATTAAAGGGCGGGTTAAGGGTTGTGTCGCTGTTGCTTTAGTTTTGGATAGGTAAAAATTTTAAAATCTGTACAGCAGACACACTTATGTGTGGTCTTTCCAGCTCAGAGTCTTGTCAATGCATAAGAAAAACACTTAAACCTAAAGCTTATGACTAATACAAAAGATAGAGTTATTAGCGCTTAATGCACTTTCATTAGTACGGGAACTCCCAACAACTAAGCCTGACACAATGATTACTTTATGTGAAAAGTTGCCAAGCGAGCAGGTGGTTCACCTGATGTTTAGTGAAAACCGCCGCCTATTGACATCTGCTACACCCGAGGGTTG